TAATCTTAATAAAACACACATGATGTACGTTCATGAAAATGCTTAGAAATTTTTGAAAAGTGCCCATAAAATCTTGACAATTATCATTCAGACTCAATTACACATTATTTACATTTTCTAGTTTATAATTTCCTCCATTTTTAACAAAGATTATAAGTTATTTTAGTAATCACAATCAACAGCTGAATGATTTCAATTAAAATATACTGCATGGATGAAGCATTAATTTAATATGCTACTCATGGAATCTGAGTCATTTGAATTTCTATTTTAACACTTGGGATTTGGAAAGTCTATTTTTTGGTGGTTTTTTTTTTTTTTTCAATTATACCTTACACCCAAGAAACAAATATACAGTTTAAATAGAAATAATCAACTGGAAATTCAGGATAGCTACCTTCATCAAGTCTTTTTTCTATCTATAATTTATTAATAATCCTGTGATAAGTATTCTCTGAAAAACAGTATATAGTACACAAATTTATGTATATTTTTGTCAAAACTAAGAAAGGCAAACACATTAACATCAGTTACACTAGTAGAATCATGGTTATTTTTTCTTTTCTTGATTTTGGAAGAAAAAATGCAAGAGATACAATTAATATTTTAATATACAAATATAAATATGATAACAAGGATGCTTTAGAAACACAGTAAATTAATTAAGTAAAAACATTCAAAAATGTACAAAAAATTAAAAGAAGATATACTTGGGCAACTTAAACTGGACTACCTCTCTATTTGTTGTTTTCCAGGACTATATATAGGTACCAACATATTTACAATGGAAAAAGTTATCTTAAGAAGGCAAGGAAGGTAATTTTCACAATGTGAATCTGTTTCCAGTTGCCTTGATCACATATTAAAAATCCTTTTATGTTGCCACCAGACATCTCCAAGGAATATCCAGAGCCTTTTTCTATGGGTTCACTGGGAGAGCTGGTCTGGACATCTCATGGATTGCTCAACTTAGAATTCAGTAGGAGGCATTCCTTATGGAATCAATCATCTCTCTGATGGACAATGTTTGCACTGTGACAAACACATTTCAAAGGTGATTATATTCTACACCAAAGGGAAAAATAAATTATCATATAAGTACATGATGGGTTGACATAGCAACTTTGCTGCATCTATAGATACATAATATCTTTTAATGGTGATGATCAGAATGTGCAACATACTCTAATATTAACATGAAATGGGAAGCAGAGTGGAAATAAAAGTTTAAGAAATTTTAAAGACTTAAGAATGCATTACAATAGTTAGTCTTGACAGACCATTCTTAGAGGTGTCCAAATTCCTGAAAATCAGAAATTCCTTTCCAAATGCTGCAAATCCCTCTAGTAAAAAAAAAATAGTATGAATCTTTCATATCTCAAAAGAAAATAAAACATACTTGTGAGTAATTTTCCTTTGTTTCTCTTTGAACCCTATTTACAGACTTTATAGAGAAGGAACATTATCTTTATCTCTATCTCTACCTTTATCTCTATCCAGAGTGCCTTCTTCTAGAGGTGTCAATATTATGTTGACTTTAAAGATAATCAGACCTTGTATCTCCCATTCAGATGAGAGAATGTTATGAAGTTTAAAGTAGACAAATATATGATAAATGCCAGGGTAATTAGGGAAAGTCAAATATTAGACAAAAGTTTAAAGAGCTTTGTGTTTCAAAAGGAAATGTCTTCTATTAAATAGATTAAATGTCTTTTATTAAATGTCTTCTATTAAATAGACTGATGCAGGTTGACTTTGTTGTTCAACCTTTATTTATTTATTTTTCAGTACAGGAAAATAAAAAGTACATTGAGCCCAGGACCTCAAGCGTGGTAGGCAAATACCAATTGAGCTACATGTCCATCTCTTTTAATATTTTTTTTTTTCTTGAGAGAGGGACTCATTAAGTTTCTTAGGCTGAACTTGAAGTTTTGATTCTCCTTCCTCAGTCTTCCAAGTATCTGTGACTATAGATATACAACATAACACCCAGTTAACATTGTTTTTCCTTTTTATATGTAGTTTCATCTGCCCCCTAGTGTATCTAATCCCAAAACTTGAGGCCATGCCTCAATTTTTGTGTTTCCAGAATCTTTGATATAATAAACTTCTAGTAAATATTTGCTGGATATATTTTGCCAAGGTGTGAAGTTTAGTTTATATTTAACTSTCATAAAGTGGTTCCTTAGTCTGAAAAAATAAAACAATAAAATGAAACTAGGGAATTTTGAATAAGAATTCTGGAGCCTTTACATGTCCTCAAGCCAGCTCTGGTCACTGATGGCAAACCCCAATAAGCAGACCTGGGCTTCTCACAGATTCCTTCCAGAGAAAGTCTTCATCATTCCGTTTCAGTTATGCATTCATAGTATTTAATTTGAAACAGGATATATTTATAATCATACACATTATCATTGGAAATTATTGAAAATGATGATTTTATTATCCTTCTCACCTTTAAACTATTCTGATTCAATTGCTACTTTCTATTTGAAAACACAATTGAGGGTATTGTTTTATTGACATTAATTAGGCTTTATTCATCTGGAATGCCTATAAAATTGCTTGTGGCAAAATTTGTTCTATTTTTTACTAAACTCATTGAAATTCAGTACTTCCTGTGCTATCTTTGTTACCAGTAGAAATTACAGACATTTTTGTACATCATGGAGTTTGTGGGAGATCTCACAAATTAGGATCCATAATCACTGCTGCTTTGAAATTATATATTATTAGTTCTTCTTGGATCTTGATATTTACTTTTATGAAAACATATGTATTACCTTAGTTTATTTTAAAATATTTTGATAACTATATTTGATGATGATTAGCTGTCTTTGTCTTTTAAATTTTTCAGACATTTAAAAATATTCTGAGAAAAGRCCTATAGACTGACCGCACAGTGATCATGCTTTAGAAGCAACAGCTAATAATTATTACTTATGTGGAATAAGCAGGTCTAGGGTCATAGGTCCTGTCTGCACTGTAAGCTATAGACCTTAGCATCTGTCTTTGTTTGGCAAAGACTACAGCCATTTACCCCCTGTGTCTTAARTTCAGTTTCTGTGTACCATTTCACTTTAAAAAGTCACAATTACATCTCCTCCCTAAAACAGGAAACTGCATTATGCCATCCTTTTCCTTTGTCATATCTGTTTATTTTATTTTCTTTTTTGTGGTTGCCCTACTTAAATCAGCACTTAGATGCTCTTCTGATCACRTTGTTTTTGCCTGTCAAGGATCCCTTTTCCTGCTGCTCCTACCCATTGGGAAGACTGATGTTCTTTTGATCCATCTAGAACTGATGTAACCTAATTCTGGGATTCTAACAGGAAAAGTCCCATTTCACAGCCTCATTTCTAAGAGAGAAGGATGTACACCTCGGGCTCTCCAGTCATCTTTCCAGCCAGGGGAAAGGAGAACCCCACCTTCCTGAGCATGAGACAGGAGAAAGCAGCTGAGACAGGAGAGGAAAAAAAAAAAAACGAATGAACTACAACAACACCAAAACTAAGGCACAGAAGATATAATTTAAAGGCACAACTTAAAAATTTGCCTGAAATTAATTCTAGCCCAGGCCACTCCAATTGGGAGAGTTACCAACTCCATCAAGCCATTTTGAGTTGCTTATATCAAAAAWAACAAGAATCTTGATAGAAGTTATAAAACAGGTTTAGCTATCTAATGCCTTTAAAAGGAAAAATAATTTTAATGATATTATAATTCATTCATTTAATAATAATAAAGTCAATGGCTGTAATATAACCATTTGTGGACCTGTGTGATATAAAACCCTGAATACATGCTTAATATCAATCTTAACCATGGATACTATGAATCATTTTACAGAGGAGTGATTTACTTCAGGTATTAAGTAAGCTGTCCAAATCTATAAAGAAGTGTTACATTTTCCATTCGCTGGACTCAAACGTCTGTGTTTTTTTCCACTATGCATTCTGAAAACAAAACATAGCTTCTCTACTAGTATAAAATAAACATGAACAGCATGTGATCAAAATCACCTTACTGTGTAACTGGGCAAACACAAATGCTCCTCTCTCCTGACTCTATCTTTTCCTAATTTCTTGCCACAGCAGCATTTTATATTTCCTACTGCATTACAGAAATGGCTCAGGGTGACTTAAAATCAGAAGCTGCATGACACGGGAGTGGGGAAAAGCCTGGGTGGAGGGAGATGATGTGCTCTAGGCTTAGGTGAGGAAGAGCAGCATCAAAGAAGATGTGAGACAAACAATATCCCTCATCAGAGCTAGAAGAGTTGTCAAGTGTGAACACAGATGTAAATGATTACCTTCCCAGCGGAACAGAGGATTTCTGCTTCACTGTGAGAGATCATTTTTTTTACACTGTAGCTGAATTTGAAGAGTGGGAGAAACTGTGATTAAAGTGACAAAATTTCTAAACACACTGGGGTTTAGGGAACATGGAGCAAAACTTTCCTCATTTAGGAAGATGAGGTAAACCAGTCTTACACTGCGGGAACTTGAATTTCCTGTATTTTTTCAGGACTGCTTATGTCTTTTTTCCTTGAGCATGTCCTCCAACTACATGAAATCATTTCCATAACTGAGATGGAAACTGAGTGAGCTCAAATGTCTTGGAAAATCTTGGGTCGTATTGGGGAGATTTTTACACAGTTTAATATCCCAGCTGAAGGAAAAAAAAAAAAAACTGCTTTCTCACGAATGTGCAGAGTATGTATCATTTCCCTTATTATTGGTTTGTGGGCTTTCTTGGAAGCATAATATCCAGGATTAGCATACTCAGGAGAATAATTGAATTTGAATATAATTAGGAAAGTTCACAGCTCAGGAAAGATTGGTGAGGAAATGGTGACATAGGAAGTTGACTTGAATTAGTAATGTTCTTAAGTACACAAGACAGAAGCTGAAACCTTATTTAGGACAGTTTCTGTTAGGACGTGGCTGGAATAAGTACATGTGCATTTCGTCCAGGTGAACAGCCCCAAGTCATCCGGCATGATAGTGCTCATTTTACTGGGTAAGTGAATGKCGCTTCTGGTTTATCTGAACTCATTGTAGTACTAATTATTTGCAAACTGAATATAGTCCCATATGACTTAAACTTAAYGGGTTTATTATGTAGAATACCAATTACACGACACATTTATGTTTCAGCATCGTTCATCACTGACAGAAATGTACAGTTCTTTTATTTATTTATTTCTAACTTGATAGAAAATGAATAATGTAGGAATTGCATTAATCATTGTGGTTGTTTCTGTTTAATTGTACAATAATTCAATGACTTTGAGTTATTTACCAGGATTTTATGAAATTCATGTAAGTCCTAGAGTCTTTAAAAAGAAATGAAATCKTCCAGTATCTATTTACAAGTTGTAAGAAAAATTTTGAATTATTATCTATTTTATTTTAAAACTAAAAGATTTTAATTTAAAACACTCATTTTCTCTAATTTTAAAATATTAATATTACTAAGATTCATTTAGTAGAATAAAACAACACCACAGTAAATGCTTCACATTTTGATCAAATTTAATGACCTAAGTATGGAATTGCCTCTCCTATATTACATCCTATGACTATATTGTAAGAGGATGATGAAAATGAATTCATCTGTGTTTAATGTAGAATCAATAACAATCTACTTGTTTTGTGTGTTATTGGAGTTTTTCTATCTTCTCCAGTGTTGAGTGAAACTTGTAAATTAAATTCAGGAAAGTGATAGTTGTAATTATAGCTGGATAATAGTAAACAAAGCCAGGGTGTTTTCTGTTTACTCTAGGCTAATAGATATTGATGAACAAAAACATAAATGTGGACAAGAAAATAAAGAACTTTATTTCAAATTGTGTTAAACTTTAAAAGGAGAGTCAAACTAAATTGAGTCAAGGATAATTCAAGAAGGAAAGGAATCCTTAATATATTTTCAGTCTTTCTTTGTATAAATAACAGTTCTATTATGTGAGGCATTCTTCTTATTATTAATTTTAAAATAGAACCTAATTTTCACTGAGCAATTCAGGAGAGTTTTTGAAAAATCTTGAGTTAAATATAGAGTCACAAATTTTAAGAAGGAATAAGACATATTTTAGAAAGATAATWATGTTTTGGGTTGTTGAGGGCCAAATCATCAGTATGGTTTCYTTAATTAACTCAGTATTGTATTTGAGTGGAAGATATGAAAAATCATGTAAAATAATCAATTAAGTGTATTATTCAACCAAAATTTGAAAATGTCAAAGGAGGTGAAGTAGATTTAGGAATGATATTATGTAGAATTCATAAATTATCATTTAGCAGAGGTACTAGTGATGTTTTGATGATATATTCAGGATCATCACCTGTAAATTTCTTGAAGTAACCATTTAAAAGACAGATGATAAATGGCAAAATGACAGTTTCTTATAAGTTACATTTTTGACATAAAATCCCCATATGAAGGTTTTTGAAAACTGGATTAATCCAAGTAAATTTTCACCAGAATCAAAAACACCCCTTTTATCTAGGCTAGCCAAGTTAAGAGCACAGGGGTTTAGCTAGATGAGGTTGTTCCTGAACACTTGAAAATAATAGAAAGCTGACAATGTCGATTTCCACTCTAGCCCTCAAAAAGAAAAATGTCATGAAGCCACACCCATGTGCCTAACCTCCAAATGCAGTGACCCAGCAAGTAGTACACATAGTCAAATCAGTTGTCTTGGTATCTTCTTAGGAAGCAAGGTTTCAAAAGAGATAAGACAGCAGAAAAGATTTCAAGGCTTTACTTGAAGCCTATAACTCTATATTGTCACAGGTGGTTCATAATTAATATCATCTTTATAAATATTCAAATTCAAATGTGATTAAAATGTAGCTTAAAGTTAATACAACTATAACTCAATTGTAGTCTCCATGTTTTTCTATAAATTTATTAAGCAAGTGTTGGTTTGCATTGTTGTCAAATAAACTTGAATTGCTTTTATAACATATTAAATTAGCATTGGCATCTCTTGATTGCCTTTGGAAAACTTTCTGAAACCATTTCTCCTCCTCTAAGAATATCTTGTAAATATTTGGAAGGTGTTATTTTGATTAGATGTTATTTATTTATGTATTACTGACCTATAAACAACTGTTTTGTTTGAAACAACATGCATTTATTGAATATCTTGGGATAAWACTAAAAATGAACTCCAGTGCTACCCAATAAAACCCTAGAACTCAGTGATGAAAAGAAGCACATGAACACATACTAGAGAGAGGTGAAATCGACAATCAGGGAAATCTCAAGATTCTAGAATAACAAGTAAAGGATGTCAATTTAATTTGGGTGTAGGGAAAGGATGGTATAGCATTCAGAGAAAGATTCCTTAAAACAGGTAAAGATTATGGTSAATCTGAAAGGACAAAGAGAGTTATTTAGAAGAAAACAATTGAATATTTATAGGGATGACACAGTAAATCCTCAGAGATGTAAAACAGCATGGAACTTTTGGAAAATTATAAATTCTTGTGGATTTCCATATTGTGAGTGGTGAGGAATCTGGAACATGTCATAAGAAGCCACCCAAAAGGTCTAAGCAGAGAAATTACAATACTAGAATTGTGCATTAGGTAGATTAGGTGGTATAAAGAATATATCAGAATAAGATAAAACTGGAGGCAGACAGACCAATGAAAGTGTTAATCAAATGCTCTAAGTGAGAGTCAATTTTTGTAAGAAGAGATGTGCAAGAGTAAAACTGAGGATATGCAAGGAATTTATCACGAATGTAAGATTTCTGGTTTGGGTGCCTCTGATAATGGTGACATTGCTTATGGTCCACTAGGAAATAGTGATGAAAAGGACAATGTTAGAGAAATTATAGTTTCAAACATTCAGATAGAGGAAACTATTTTCTATCTGTGGCTATAATATTGGAAAATATTGGTTTGAATCACATTTTTGAGAATCATTGGCCTAGAGAATTTTCTTTCTTTCTTTCTTTCTTTTTTCTGTGTGTGTGTGGATATGGTGCTTGGGCTTGAACCCAGGGCCTTGTGCATGTGAGGAAAGCACTCTACCAACTGAGCTATATCCCCAGCCTAGCCTTGGGAATTTAGTTCAAACTGAGAGAGCATAGAATTGTCCACAGAGAATGCATAAGATGAGAATGGGAAATGTCCAAGGACAGAACCTAAGTAAAAATACATTTTAACAGGAGATCAAGGTAATTCTAGGAGAGATTCATTATGGCCAGAATATATTGATTGGATAAATATCAAGACAATCAATRAAAGTGTTGCCAAAGAAAGACAATCCCAAAACAAATACATCAACAAAATGACTAATGGTCAAAAGAGGTCAGATAAAGTCTTAAATCTATTAAATTTGATATTAATGAGGTGATTAGAAACCTTTTAAAGAGTAGTTTGGATCAAATAAGAGTCCTAAAAATAAATAAGTTGAAAAATTCTAAAGATAAGTAGGTTGAAAATAGGTGGTGAGAATGAGAAGAATCAGTACAGACAATTCATTGAAGAATCTTACACAGGAGAAATACAGATCTACAGCTAGAGGGGAGTTTAAGATGCATTTCAGCCTTATAATAATTTTACCATGCTTTATTTTCCACAATTCTGCTCTTTTAATAACTTAGATTTGGGGAAAATAACCACCAGACTGCAACATCGCAAACTTTTGCTGTCTTCTTGTTATTCAAGCTATGAGACTAAGCTCAGAAAATGGATCTGCTTCCCACACCAATGTTTGTGCATATTTAAGAGAGCAATGCTTAAGTGATGCACATGGATGCAAACCTGCATGGAGAATAATGGAAGATGCCTGCAATGTTTCAGGTAAAACAAGTTGCTATAAATAAAYTCAAATGATTTCTTTTATCTAAGATAAAAATGAGATTTGATATTTTCTTCCACAATTCTAGAAACTAAGTTAATCTTCATGTTAAGTATCTTACTTAATTTTGACATTCACTTAATCTACAATCCATCATATTTTGGTGAATTTCATTGCAAAAGAATATGATTAATTACTGACAGGCTCTGATTAACACTTAAGGCAGATTTATGCAAAATTAAAGATTACATTTACTTGTTTTATCAAAAAAATCCTCCAATGATATGTGTGCTTCTTAGAACCACAAATAAAATTCTTCAAATAAAATAGCATTCTGCTAATATGTCAATTTGTCAAGGACTAAAGAATAATGTTTGGGATAACCATTGCTATTTATTTGTACATTTATAATGTTTGTTCTTTATTCTTATAAAGTACACACTATTGTTCATTCCAGTTCTGTCAAGTGTCATTTAAAACAAATTTTAAATTTTTAAATTATACTACATTCCAAATACTTGAAGGGAGTTTCAAGAAATGAAGAAAACAACGATTGAGGGGGAAAGTCTTACTACATRGTGACTGCATATATAGTAAATGAAATTTTACCAAATCATTCCCTGAATGGGGAATTCCTCAAAATGAAAATTGGAAATTGGGCCCATTTTCCTTCTCAGAGTCACAAGACCTATAACAAGACTCAGTACTGGATGAGCAGCAAAAGAAACTTGCATTGACCAAGGGTAACAGAAGTGGGAAACAAACTAAGAAATCAATTTTTTGACCTGTTGGGGAGTGGAGAAAAGAAATTAGGGGAGAGAGAGGCTAATAAAGTGAAGGACATTTATGTCTTTTCCTGGAATAGGTGGAGACTTCTCAGAACTCAGGCACCATATCTTTTCTCTCCTTTTATGGTGGGGTGCTTCTTATCAGGGTGGCTTATAGATGTGTTGCTCAGTATGAAAATTAGATTAAAATGAAATTAGAGGTCTGGGGAATCACTGTGGCAGCCATCTTGAATCTGAATGGTTTTGGCTAGCCCACTGAAGAGGAGCCTGTGGCCTTAAGACATTCTGTCCTCAAACACAGACAAGATCAGGGTGGAAATTCAGCTAGGGCATGTAGGCAGTACAGTGGATAACAAAGTCATTATAGTAAGGCTCCATTCACACAAAATACACATATTAAACTGATTATACAGGGGGACATTGTCCTCGTAATGGCATGATAAAATTAGTTTTAAAATGCAACATTTTAACATAATGACAAATATAACCATCTTATATTATGGCTATTATAATATTCTAAATGCTGATGAATGTTGTGAAACATTCTGTAAGACAAATACTAAAGGGAAATTCAAAATGTATTTCATTATTTTTTTCATTTCTCCATTTTACAAAGATTAGATCACATACTGCTCATATCCTCAAATGCTTCCTTTACCTCAGACTGCATTGTGTTAAAAAGTAGCAACCTTCAGTTCTAACAATACCCATGTGTACAATATCCATCAGCAAGCTTGGCCCAGCAACATGACCTCAGTGAATTATACAGAATGTGTAGGAAGGCAGACAGTTTCTGCTCTTCTGTGTCCTTGAGGAAGTACATGGACTATTCACACTGGAAGGAAAGTTATAGCTATCTAATTCAATATTCATATTTCTATTCAGGAAAAATAATTTGCTTAAAGTAATAAAATAATTTTATGATGAAGACAGAGGACAACGAAATTTGTTATTTGTATTGATGATGAAACTCCTTGTTATATAAGGCAATTTAAAATGTGTTTCTAAAATATCACACTTCATGTGTCATGAATTATCACTTATCTATGTATTTTAGTATATAATAGCAAGACATTTGTGGTAAATTGCAAAAATATTTGCATAATTAGTTCATGCATAAAGATGAAATAGAAATATTTTCAAATTCACAGACAATATAAACTTAAGTGGTTTTATCCAGAACAATGTATAAAATAAAACTGGGATAGAGGTATATAGCTTTTTAAATTAAAACAGAAAATTAAATATTATTAGTTATAAAAGATTTGTTCAATAATATTTATGGAGTGCTTATAAGTGCCAGGTTCACTTCATTTCTCAATAAATTTAGAGCCACCTACACATATCAGAATGACATATAAAATAAAATAGCAGATTAAGACAAAATAGCTAATGAAGTATCTAAAATGACAGAATAGAAATAATTCTGGTGATTTCATAAAAGGACAGCTTTGAGTATTTCCAAAGTGCAAATATTGGCATTTTATGTCAGGACAAACTACTTTAAAATGCAGAAAGTTTCCATTTATTTTATGAAGTATGTTCTGGGAAAAGCACAGTAAAAATAGATATCTTGTGTAAAAAGTCATTTATTTGATCATCCTGCAACAACCTTATATAATCATGTCATACTAAAGAATTACCCAGATTGGCATCTGGGTGCTTTGGGAGGCTTGGGGTGCAGCTCAAAAGTTAAGAACCCCTGGGTTCAATCCCTGGTACTAAGTAAATAAATAAATTATAAAGTACTTTGGAGAAAAGGATCCAAAAGTTATGTTCACATTAATATCTGGAGTGTTATATTTTCATTGTTAAATCCAGGTGACCCCTGCAAGATAAGTAATTTATCACACTGTTACCTGAGAATCCAGTCCTTCGTGGACAGCAATTTCCAGTTTAAAGAGTGTCTCTGCACAGATGACCTGTACTGTACTGTGAACAAGTTTCTTGGAAAAGAATGTGTCAATAAATCAGGTAATGCTTATTCATCCAGGTCTTTGTTCCAAAGCTAAATCCTGCTAAATCATGACATATTATTCTTTTTTCTTATTGCAAGGTTTTGGATTGCTAATATTTTGCTGACATATCTATGTTCATGTAGTAGTATATTGGCATATTGTCTTGCCCTATAAGATCTTTAGTTTTGTTGTCTGACTAACACTGGCCTCTTCAAATGAACTGGGAAGTGTTTCCTTCTCTTTCATATTCTGGAACAGTATACAAAGAGATGGCATTATTTTTTTATTCAAGATTAAGTCCATCAACCAGTGAAAGTACCTAGGCTATTCTTCATTGGAAGTTCCAAGACACAAATTCAATGTACTTAATTGTTACAATACTAATTCAGTTATCTGTTTCTTTCTGAGTGAGCTTTAGTAGTTGGTGTCTTCCATTTTATGGATTTTTATATTTAGAGTTTCTTATGAACTCTTTTTTTATTGCCATCTCTAAGTTGCTCCTCTAATATTCTGTTCTTTTTAATGTCTGTAGGAGTGGTAGTGATGTCCTCTCATTCATTCAGGTATTTATAATTTGTGTTCCTTCTTTCTCTTTTTCTTTTCTGATTTTGCCCTTTGTTGGCTCATTTTGTGTGTGTGTGTGTGTGTGTGTGTGTGTGTTTGTGGTGATTTTAAATTGTTCTTAATTTTCTATTTTCTTCAGATAAAAACTTGGATCATTGATTTAAGGTTTTCTTCTTTTCCTGACATGAATATTTAATACCGTGAATTTCCTTTCAAGAACTATCTTAGCTACACACACAAATTGTTATGCTATATTTTATTTTTTATTTAATTCAGAATATTTTCTTTTCTTTGGGATCTCCCATTTGACTTATGGTTTAGAAACTTGTTGTTTAATTTCCAAATATCTGGGATTTCCCAGGTGTCTTTCTTACTGATTTTAGTTTAATTTCCATCTCATCTGAAAACATATTTAATATGATTTCAATCCTTAATGAAAATGATGATTGCCAAATATCATTTGTACAATGTACTCTATTCTATATAATATTCATGCACATATTCACACAAAAAATATTCAAAGTCATATAGGAAGAAATAATGGTGACCCAGAAGGTTTCACAGAATTGCAGTCATAGATTGTTCCTCCAGTGGCTCAGGAGGCTGAGGCAGGAGGATCTCAAGTTCAAAGTCAGCCTCAGCAACTTAGTGAGGCCCTGAGGCAATTCAGTGAGACCCTGTCTCTAAATAAAATATTAAAAAGGGCTGCAGATGTGCCAGTGCTTAAGCACCACTTTTCAACTTTTGTTTTATAAAAATAATTTTTAAAAGTTGTGGCAGACATAGCCTTTTAGGGTGAACTGTGTTCTTTAGGGAGGCAAACAAAGGGGATTTTTAGAATAGAGGAAATAGAATGAAGCAGAGCACATTTGGAGAGCAACAAATCTTTTGTTAAGTTGGATTGTAGAATGGAAAAGTATTAGAATGGATATAATGTTGGAGAGAAACCAGATGTTAATAAAAAGGAGGCAAGCTGAACTTCCAGCTTTCTAATGAGATTAGACTTTAAACCTTTGATATGAGGATCTGTTATCGATTTTAAAAAGAGGAATGAATAATCAGCTTTCCAAGTGATAAGGTTGTAAAGTAAAAGATGGAATAGAAGGAAGAGAAAGATGCAAGCAGGATATAAATTAAAAAGCATCAAAATAATTTGGTGGCAAGGTATCTGTTTTAGTTACCTTTTTCACTACTGTGACTAAAAGACCCTGCCAGAAACACTGTAGAGGAGGAAAAGTTTATTCAGGAGCTCACAGTTTCAGAGGTCTCATTCCACAGGAGGACAGCTTCATTGCTTAGGGCCCCAGGTGAGACTGAACATCATGGTAGAAGAGTGTGGTAGAGAGAAGAGGTTCACATAATCATCAGGAAGAAGAGAGATAGACTAAGGTCAGCTCACCAAAAATATACCCCAAAGGAATGCCCCTAATGACTCATCTTTTCTAGCGCCACCCAACCCACCTTCAGTTACCTCTCAGTTAATCCCTATCATGGAATTAATTCACTTATTTGGTTAAGGATCCCGTAATCCAATCATTTCACCATTAAACCTTCTTGCATTGTCTCACACATGAGCTTTTGGGGGACACCTCACATCCAAACCATAACAGTGTCACATGCCTAAACTAACACATGTGCTGAGAATTATAAGGAGAGGGGATATGTTAAGTATGTCTATGAGTTATAATTAGTAGGAACTGGTGACCAGCTGAATAGTGGGAGAAGAAAATGTACTAAACATGATATTCAAAGCGATTACAATGAAATAAAGATAAAGAAGAAATTATGGATTGGGAACAAAAATATCATTATATTTGGAAACATTTTTTTTCTGAAACATTCTTTGGCACATTCAAATTAGGAATGTTTATAATTTTTTATGAAGTTTCCCATGCTAAAAATAAAATTGAAAATAAAGAAGTAATAGAACATGCCTTATTCAACTAGTATTTAGAAACAGAGATTTTTCAGTTGAGAAGAAAAATATAAAATAGAGGCACAAATTTTGAAGTTAAAGACTTATGAGCAGATAAAAACACAAAGGAAAATAAATTCATTAGGAAAGGAGAAGTGAGAAGTGAGAAGAAAAGTATTTTCAGTAACAATGTCATAATCTAGTTAGAGAGACCAAAAGGAAGTTTTAAATGGTAGGAAAAGAAAGTACTGTTTAATTTTTAAAACTAGTAAAAGAGGGGACCCAGAAAGTAGTTAGCAATTAAAAGGAGACATTAAATAGGACAGGTCCTGTGAATGACATTAGTTTGCTAAATAGGGAACTCTACCAGTTTTAGATTGAAGTAGTCAGAAATGTAAGCATGTTGAAATATTTATCAAAATATTGTTTTGTTTCAAGAAATTGAAACATTTCTATCTCCATCATCATTTTTATCACGCCAAGTTAGGATAAAATATTGCTATCAGTTAAGCACATATATACAAGTAGAGAGCAGTTAAAATGAAATCAACTATCATGCTAAAACCACTTTTMCCACATGGAATTTATTAAACCCTGCAATGTGGAAATATTGATAAAGCAATMCTACAAAAATCTTAGAACTATGAGATAGAAAAGAAGACCTAAACAATTTCACAAATGCACTTCATGATAGACCTGACTTGATTGTTAGGTTTGGAAGGCATATTCAAGGGATTGCTGATATTTCAGCTTAAAATAGTAAAGGAAATAAACACTGAAATTTTAGCATTCCTTCTGTATTAGCTGCAGCATTCTCCAGGAAGCCTTGACCTCTCTTTCTTTCTTTTGCTTTACCAAAATGTTCCCCAGCATACACATTTCTATTCTTGGAAAAATTGGTTTTGGCATTTCTGGTTTTTTTAATATGCTAAAACTCCCAATAAAGTTTCTGAAAGAGAAAATGATCAATAAATATATGATGTAAATATTAAAATTCATTAACTATTTTGAGCATCTAAATCTTGTATCTAAGATATTTTTTACTCAATTTATATATGTAGATGTTGTATAAACTCTGAGGAATATTATTCTAGATGAGATAGTCCCTGCTCTTGAGTATCTGACAACACTGAGCGAAATTTATATTTAGTCAGGATATATAATTTAAAGTGGCTATATCCATATACATATATAGTTATACTATATTTTATATACAAATTTCAATTATTTTGTTACAAATATTCAGTTATATTACAAGTATATATTATCAAATATGTTGACATTTAGGTAGCCTTACATTTTATTTCATATCAAAATGTATAATTACCAATATAAGAGAGTGAATTATATCAGGGCAGCATTAAATTACCTACATCTTGTACATGAATGCCTGGACATGCTAGCTATTAGGATTTTAAGAGATGGTATCTGTTCTTATTTAGGACTTTGATTTATAAAATATAATGATTCATTGTGAGGTCTTATTAGGTAAAGGTGGAAAATGGTCTAGTAGCAAAACTACGTGCACAATGGAGGCTGCACAGTGCTCAGCAGAGTGCAATGGAGGTTTGTACTTACACACTTTTATAACATGAAGGTGGTCATATTGTCTGGATCTTGCATAAGTATGAGGCATTTGAAAAACTAATGTGTGGGAACACTCATTTAATAGAAAAAAAAATTTAACCTAAAAGTACAAGAAGAGCAGACATCCCGAAGACAAGAAAGAATGACTAGAGGAAGAATACTAAAGTCTCAGAAGCATTGCAGTGGAGGTCTATTTATTTATTTATTTATTTATTTATTTATTTATTCCCAGTTCTGGGTTTGAACACAATAGTGCTCTGCTATTGAGCTATATCCCCAGCCTTCCCCCCTCATTTTAAAATTTTAAAACAATGTATTGCTAAACTGCTGGGGCTGGCCTTGAATTTGCTGTCCTTCTGCCTTGGCTTCCTCAGTCACTGAGATTACAGGCCTGCCCTGCTACATATGACGTGGAAGTCTTCTTGAAGTGCCTCAGAGGAAGGCAAGACATTTTAGAAGTAGACAAAAAAAAAAAAAAAGCCTGTAAGTCTACTAAGAATCTTGTGCTGAAGTTACTCTCCCCATCTTCTTCATATAAAATTTATACAATTCTAGGATTATTGGGTCTTTCTAATAGAAGATGTGTTCTCAATGAAGGCAGTAGAACCACCAAGGGGCAAAAATTGCTGTTGAGTATGGGCCAAAAAGTCTTACCTTACCATGTACAAGGTGTACATATAGAAGTTTTAAAATAGACAAACAGTATATCTACATAATTCATTTCATGGGGGACAGAGGAATTACAAAAAAATGTCTAAATTGACTTTGCATGGATAGAGAAACACTTTAGTAAAGGCACATTTGTGGGAGAAAATGGAAATTCATAAAAATTTGTTTAAGAAATAATGGATTGCCTTATACATAAGTTAAATGATTTTATTAACCATGAAGATGTAATGAAAAGACAGACAGTAAATGGTAAGGACAAAATACCATTAAAAATGAGCATT